ATATATATATATATATATATATATATATATATATATATGTATGTATATCTGCTTTGCTCATATTATGAATAATTCATAGTTCTTTTCAAATTACAATACTACCTACCCAACTCTTCCCATCCTAACATATGATCTCTACCTTTAAAAAAATACATGAAAGACAAGGAGTATAGCTCAGAGTGCTTGCTGGGTTCAATTCCTAACACTGTCAAATTAGTCTCAAAGCATGTAAGTTCTAAGCAAACAATATGACCTTTGCTTCTATCTACTATGTCCCTGCCAGCAATCACAGAATGGTTTCCTGGGAAAATCATCATCTAAAAGGCTTTAGGACCGTCCCTTGGGTGCTGGTAATTGTAGCATAGCAAAAAGAAACTCACACTCCTCAGGCACACTTACTGTTTGGATGCCACTTTTTATATCATAGTGAATCACAATTGTGCCACAGTCTCCATAACCAGGAAGTGACCGTCTTAAAGTGTCAGAAGTCATGGTTCCTCCATCTGGCTGGTTCCCTCTCTGGATACCATAGGAAGTCTGACACACAGGACACACAGGCTTCAATGACATGGCTTTGGTGATACAAGAAGTACAGAATTCATGCTTGCACTTAGACAGCACACGCTTGTTGCTAATGACATTCATGCAGATGACACAGTCGTCTTCAGTCTCATTTGCCTTCAAGGCCCCAGAGCTATCAGCAGAGCCTCTGAGAGGAGGTACAGCCGCATTTGAGTCATTTCCATCAATACCCATGGGTGTCTCATCATCCACATATAATTTCTCTCCAGACGATGGGGACAGTCCCATTCCTTTGAAGACATAGTGCTTTGCCTGTGCAAGCTGGTTCGGCAAACCAATCAAAGTCATCGACTCTCGAGATATCACAAAGTGTACATTTGGGTGCTTTTTTTTTAAGTCATCGACAAACTTGGTCTTGTGTGAGTGAGCTTTCCCCTTGCCTAAATGTTTCAGTGACAGGACTTCTGTCCTTAGCTGGAACGTGGCATGTTGGAAGGCATCAGTGAAGCTTGCATAAGAGTGCACGGACAGGTCGACCTCCTTATCCTTGGGGTCAAACAGAATGCAGGTTTTCTGGCTTTTCTCCTGGACTTTCCCAGAAGTGTTATACTTGTTCTCTATCTCCGAGATTTCCTGGAGCAATTCAGGTTTTAGAAGGTTGAAGTGTGTGGAGTCAACGTCAATCCCTGCCTTGTAACCAGACGCCATTATTTTCACAGGCGTCTTGATGGAAGTTTGGGAGACTTTTTCTGTGGCAGCTGAAATGTCAGCTTGAGAGCCTAGGAGAGTTAGCGTTCTTCCTTGTCCTTTTATCAGGAGCTTTGGGAAGCAGCGGTTCAACTCCTGTCTGAGTTCCTTTGCTATCTGAGGGTCCTCTATAGAGACACAATCTTGCTTCAGAGATTGGGTGCATTTCTGAAAGTCTCTGACAAAAGACTCACTGGCTGCTTCTATGTTGCCCGATTGGCTAGTGGTGAAGACTACAGAGACCATATTGGGAGTACTATCTTGGATTTGAATGTTTACACCAAATCCTTTCTCTATGGACTCTATTCTACCAGGACAAGCATGTCTGAAATAGTCAAGGAAAGGCACGGGAACTTCAAAAGCATCTTCTAATCTGGGTTTTAGTTCTGAGGAGGAAAAGCCTCTACCTGAGTCTTCCTGGTTGGGAGGCTCTCTCTCCACATCGGAAGGGGGGTATTTTTGTGGAGGGTACTTCTGTTTCTGCTCACTTTCCAAAAGCTGCACACTCAAGAACTTCTCAGTATCTTTGAAGTTGCCACACACCGTCACAATTCCGCCTTTACCCTCCACACTTCTGATGCCAGGGCCGACAGCAGGTATGTGTGTCCTCTGCTCTTTAGAAAGCAATTCACAGTTCTGCTCATCGGTCATAGCAAGAAAGACCTGGAAGTTTAAAAGGCACAGATACAAATTAGATCTCTCGGATATTGACCCCTCTTCAGGAACCACACAAACGACCACGATTTTTTTTTTTTCTTCTTCTTGGCAGGGGCTAACTCCTTCATATCCTCCAAGAGGAGCAGTCTGCTATTGCCAGGCTTGTCAGCCCCATTTACACATTAGACACACCTTTGGGGAGTTTAAAGGTGAATTAAACAAAGAAAGTCAAGGCCAGGGCTCATGGCAGGGGCTCATATAACTGCTTTGCAATGAAGCCTGGGCACAAACATTTTCTAAAGCTCTGGCTAAAAGATCTGTGTCTAGAGTTACCATTATCTCCTTGACCAGAGACTAAGGATGGAGAGAAGGCATCGCTGCTCTCTGGGAAGTTGCTGTAATTCTCAAGAAAGAGTTTGTGGGCTTTTAAGGTGGCACTAAATCCAAGATGGATTTTTACCCCCACCCCAGTCAATAAGCTTTTTTTCTTACTTACCCTCTTACTTTAAGAAAACCCCAAAGCATGAAACACTTAACTCTTGCAAATTTGCTAAGTCCTTTTAAGCCTTGTTTTTTAGAAGTTCAGCGATGCAATAGAAATACCAGATTTGGATAAAAAGGCTATAGCAAATTGAATGCAACATAAAAGCACAATATCTAATGATTTGTCCCTACTCAAGGTTTTTGCAGATGATCTTTAATCCACATGGAAGATTCTTTCTCTAGGCTAGAGCTTCAAGATTTTTCCAAAATTCAGCCTCTTTGTCACTCCTCTATCAGGACTGTCCAGAATCTAGGTCATTGTCATCATACAACTGGCTCCCTGCAGCCTCTTACCTTGCAGCCTGGCCATTTCCTGTACCAGCAGCCAGAGTGATCTTTACAAATGTAACCTATAGGCTGTAGCAATAGCTCAGTGGTTAAAAGCACTGGCTTCTCTTCTACAAGTCCTGAGTTCAATTTCCCCAGCCATCTGTAGTGGGATCTGATGCCTTTTTGTGGCATAAAGTCCTACATACAGATAGAACACTCATATACTTAAACAAACTTTTTTATAAAACTGCAATCCAGATCCCTAACCATCAGGCTCAAAAACATCAGATGAAGCACCACACTGGAGTTCAAATCCTAAGCCCTGCCTTCACAGTACCCTTTCAAGTTACTAGCACTCTCCTTTTGCCCACTGCTCGGTCCCTACCCCTTTGCCTCATTGAAGCTTCAGCTCTTCTGAGGCCTGTGTATGTGTTTCCCTCAGCCTACAATGTTTCTTGCTACAAAACCACGAAGCTAGGTCCTTTAATTTACTTATGTCTTTTGGATGAAGCATCATTGGGGTTTGTTTATTTGTACCCTATTTGTGACAGTGGTTCTGTCACTGTCACTTATCCTCCTTTATTCTCCCTGCACTTGTCACTGGACATAAGTTTATTATACATCTATTTACTATTCTTTGTTTTCCTTACTCGATGTTAAGGGCCCTGAGAGCAGTCTACTATGTGCCTGTACCCCCCGCCCCTGCAACAGCGCCTGGCACATCGTAAGCAGTCCCTATCTATTTGTCGAACACATTTAAAAAAAAAATGACTGGTGCCTTCTCATCATTTAAGCCTTAGGCTAAATGTCACCTCAGCAAGCAGGTCTCCCATCTTCCCTTGCCTGCCCTCATGCTGTTCCTCTCTGAGGCAATACTCCATTTTATTCTCCTAGCTTGTCTCTGTCTTTGAAGTACTTATCCCCAGTTAATTAACTTGTTTATGGTGTGCGCACTTCCTTACCCCTATACAGGCTGCACCAGGACAGGAATCTTGTTCCTGTTTATTCAACTCTGTAGCCAAGTGCCTAGACCAGTGCCTAGCTCATAGCTAGTGCCTGGCACAAGGCTGTCAGACCAAAACAGACAGAAGCAGTGACCACAGAGGCGTTTGTAGCAATGGTGCCAGCTGCTCTGTCAAAACTCACCTTTTGAACAACAGAGTCAACAGAGTTAGAAGCAGGCTCTTCATCAGACAGTGATGCATCCAGTGACTGTGTCAAAGATGGAGGTCTGGGTCTCAGGTCCTCCACTGGCTTTTTCATGGTTTCCAGGAAAATGGTCACAGGTTTGTCATCAATCAACATCTTGTGGTCTCTCTTTTTCAGTACTTTCTCCTTAGCTTCATGGGCGACATTAAACACACAGATTCACACAGAAATGAGAGAGAATTTACAGATGGCCCCAGTGTCCTCTCTGGGTTGATTCTAGGAACTTCTGGGGACACTAAAATCTATATATGTCACTTACAGGCTTTCACACAAGCCACCCATATTCTCTTATGTGCTTTTAGTTGGCTTGGGTTTTGTTTCTTTTTTTGAGATAGGGTCTCACTATGTAATCCTGGCTGCCTGGAACTCCATATAGAGCATGCTGTCCTTGAACTCTCAGACATCTGCTCGTCTTCTTCCTCCAAAGTGCAGGGATTAAAAGAGTGTGTTACCATGCCAGGCCTTCCTTACACTTTTAAGAATCTCTAGATGACTTTAATTCCTCACACAAGGCAAACATTATGGAAACACAGGCAATGTTGCATTGTTTAGTTGGATGAACCCTAGAATGTGGGATTTTTGTGTAATTTTCTCAAGATAGAAACATTCCATCATGCAGGGAAGCTCCTAATGCAAGAAAGTAAACAACCTAAAACAACTTCATGAAGTCGGTGACCCTGACCACCTGTTTGAGTAATCAATGAAGACTGCTCAAAGTCCTTCTGAGACTTGCAGAATAGAAATGCAAAGAAGACTCAGAAAAGCAGCACTGCAGAGGAAATGCTGGAGAGGAGATGCTTGCATAGGCCAAGTGAAAGGTTCAGGCAGATACCTAGGCAGCTTAAAAGGCCCTGTGTTGCATGGCCATGTCATGGCTACATCACTCATTACAGGGCTGCAAATAAGGACTCAGTGCGCATGGGCAAGCTTCCCCTTTTAAACCTGCATTATTCTCCTCCCTCTCTCTCTTTCTGGTGGTCGACCTCTCTCTCTGTCTTCTTTCTCTCCCCCCCCCACTTTTTGCACTTCTGCCCTATAAAAAAACTGGTTAATATGCTCTCTATAGTCCATGTCCATCTCTCGAATTTCTAATTTAAGCAAAAGAATAACACCAAGCTGCCCGAAAGAAGCAGAAACCTGCCCATCTACCTGGAGGAGGTTTAGACCAGCTGAGGCTCCTGGAAAGGACACTCTCTCACCTGTTGGGCTACCTGCAGGCTGTGCAGTGTGTTCCATGTTCCAGCTTTGTGAGCTGTCACCCTTGCTGGTCTGGGCTTTAGTGATGCAGCTGTCTTTGAGTCATTTCTGCTCCTGTAAGTGACCCCTCACCCATATTCCTGTAGTAATCTCAATGAAACTCATGGTTCACCAAGTTAGACTGTTAAACTGGTGGTTTCTGTACTGTGGCGGGATCCCTGTCTGGGGCAAGTGGACATGTGTGTTGTGTCTCCCCAGGAAAAGTTTCCTATCACAATAAGAACAGAGGACCTGAGCAAGTTGTTCCTGTTATCGTGGAATAGCAGGTTGTTGATGGGAGAAAGTTATTCAGAACTCAAAAGTAGGCAGCTTAAGTTTTACTGTAGAACATCATTTGGTTATCAGAAGCCAAGTTTCTAGGCATAGTGGTATACACCCATAATCCCAGCACTTAAACAGCAGAGGTAGGGGTGGGGGTGAGGGGGATCACAAGTTCAAGGCCAGTCAAGCCTAAATAGCAATGGTCTGCAATTTCTCATTTCAATGACGTAGAATAATATTCACTGTATAGTTAAGTGGTGCAACCACTGCAAAACCAGGAACCCAAAAGTTTAGAGTGGTTTAAATGTATATTCATTAGCTGATTCACAGAAAAGAATACATGAAACCATTCCCATTGTGTATCTCCAGGTAATCTTTCTTTTGACTTTTTTTTTTTTTAAAGTTATCACATATTATTTTGAAATCCTTAAAAACAAGTCAGTGGAATCACTATGGATAATAGGAAAGTGCTTTGCTGTGTACCTCTGTGGTGCAGCACTTGCCTAGCTATCACAGGGGCCTGGATTTCAGTTCCAATCCCCACTTCCACAATTCCCTTTCTCCTATCAAGTCAATCTGCTGGGAAATTGGGCAACTCAGCTAAGCAAGAGGAAGCTACCCCTGGGAAGCCTGGTCAGGGGCTGGGCCCACCTAAGGCTCTATCCCCCACTGTGGGATAGAGGAAGTTATAGGCTGCAGTGACTCCTACAGGCAGTGCCATACTCTCCTGGAAGCTTAAATGGGTCTGTTCAGAAACTGGGAGAATCCGCCTCTGTGCTCCATCCCGGCCCAGTTCTCCTGTACCAGCTCACCTGCCCTTTCTAGGAACTTCACCTCGAAGGTGTCAGGGGCGCTGGGGCCCACGGGCTGGACAGTGCACACCCTGCTGTCGGAGACCAGGCTCTGGAAGTATTTCTCTAGCTTCCTGTGCGCCCCAGGGATGGACTTCGGCAGCCTCACGAGTAGCGGGGACTGCGGGCAGGAACTAGAAGCCATGACAGTCCTCGTCTGGATCGCTTGGGGATCAGGGACAGTGTGCAGCCAGGAGGGAGCAAAGGGGAGTTCTTGTACTAGAGACCTGGGCTGCAAAGTTTCAGTTTCGTTTGCCAGGAGGTCCCTCCCTGTTCCTCTCAGAGTTTCCTTCTTTCTTTCTCTGCGGTCTCCTAGGGCCTTTGCCCAGGTGAGTAGTTTGTACCTCTGACGGTGGGTTATTGGGGGAAGATATGTCTCCGGGGTCACAGGTCGCCTTCTTCTCTTGCAAGATCAGAAGAGTAGCAGGAACCGGGATTCCAGAGCCAGGCCTCCTAAAGGAGGGTGTAGTGAAGTAGAGAGATTAAAAAGTTTCCCCCATATTTTGCTCTTCAAAACTATGGTTAGGATTAATATTTCTTGAAATGCTATTCTGAATTTAAGTTACAGTTATCTGGCTTCTTTGCATTTGAGGGCATTTACCTGCTGGATGACCTGTTAGATGGGCACTTAGGAGTTTTCTGCTCTGGGTCCGTAAATTAGTCAATAGCACAGATCTGTGGGCTGTCCAGCGTCAACAGAATATATACCTATGAACAAAGCAAAAGCCAAAGGCCTCCAAGATCTGGTTTCAAGCAGAATCTTAAGGTGAGGTTGGGGAGGGGAGGAGAGTACCCCAGACTGGGAGAGCTGTCTGAGAAGTCCCTGAGGGCTCAGTCCCAGGCCTGGGAGCAGATGAGATGGGGTCAGGGAGAGGAAGAGTGTCTGTGAGAATCTATAGTGTCAACAGAAATGCAGTGGGGTTTATGTGTGCTCATTGTTGTCACTTTGACTACATCTGGAATCGGCTAGTGCTTGTGAGGAATTTTCGGTGGTGATATATTGTTTATGTTTTGCTAAAGCACTGGAGATCAAAACAGCAAAGCAGCTATACTAGTTAGCCATAGAAGCCAGGCAGTGGTGGCACACACCTCTAATCCCAGGACTCAGGAGACAAAGGCAGATGGATCTGTCTGAGTTCAAGGCCACCCAGGGCTACCCAATATCATTGAATCAGTCTAAAAGAGTAACAGAGCTCATGCCTTTAATCCCAGGACTCATGAGATGTATTTAAGACAGGAACAGAGTCTCAGAGCTGGCATTCATTCTCCAGTTATGCTGAGGAGAGGCAGCAGTCTGAGGCTTGGTGAGAGCTGGTGGAGACAGGATCAACCCTTTCAGTGTGAGGTAGAAGTACTATCTGGCAGCTAACTACTTTGCTTTTTTGATCTTCAGTGGCTTTTAAAAAATCATAAACAATATATCACCACAATTTTCTTTCTTCCTCCCTTTTTTCTTTTTTGTTTTTGTTTTTGGAGATAAGGTTTCTCTGTATAAACAGCCCTAAGTGTCCTGGAACTTGCTTTGTAAACCAGACTCGTTTCAAACTCACAGAGCTCCATCTGCCTCTACCTCCCAAGGTGAGTGCCATCAAGCCTGGCTGTTAGGGATTTTCTTGCTTGGATCATTTAAGGCAAGTAGACCCATCCTAAGTTTGGACCACACCTCCTGGTAGCAGCATATATAAAAAGACAAGGAAAAAAGAAGTTTTTGTTTTTGCCTGCTTGCTTCAGGACACACAAGTGCACATTCTGAAACAGATGCCCAGCTGTAGTCTTGCAGAAACCTTCACAGTCTTTCACAGTCTTTCACAGTCCTTTGTCTGTGAAAACAACACTGCCCTCTGGAGGTAAGGCGGAACTTTTCACTGCAGTCCGTTAGTATCCAACTTACTCAAGGTGTATGACCAAATATGCTCAGATGTTGTACAGTTTTTCTGTTGTGTTGACATTATAAATAGCTCCAGAGACTTCATGATAGCAACAGTTTTAGACCACTGTATTGTAAGTTTTAAACACGAGTCTGTTCATAATCTTTAGTTTTTACCTACTAGGCTAAAATCATCAAAATATAATTTTCCCAGAGTTTCTGACTTTCATGCAGATATCCTTAGGTCAGACTTGTTTATCACAGGTTCAGCAGAATACACCCCATGCATGTTCAGTTTTCTGAGTCTTCAAAGAAGCTGTTGGGAGCTCTACTGCTCATAGGCTGCTCTTTGTCCTGTCTCACCACTTTGTTACCATTTTGTAAATACACTAATCACTTCAAGACCTGGATCCTGTCTCACTTCCAAAATTCTTTTCCTATTCCAGCTCCTGCAGTCCACCTCCACCCCCACCCCTGCCAGCTGTCTTGGGACATCAATTGGAATTCAGTGAGAAGGTAGACAGTAACAATGGCAAAATGACATGAGCATCCTCACCATGGACTGGAAAATCAAAAATTGCTTTCAGGTCTCCTATGGTATATTCTTTTCTTCTTCTTCCTCTTCTTCTTCTGGCTTTAGGGACTCAGGTGTGTGACTGCAGGCACCTGCTTCAGAGGCACTGGGACAGCTGAAGACAGGTTCTCTTAGGGTCCCTACTATCCTTTTCCCTTGTCGAAGATACTAGACTCTTCTCTTTTGTTTGTTTGGGACTGTTTCAGTTTGTAGATCTGGCTGGCCTGTATTCAGATCTGCTTGCCTTTGCCTCTGAGTTCTGAGTTCCGAGATCCATGTCACTTCTGGCCATAGCCCGACAGACAGAATTGGCAGAAAGGGTGGCCAAGAGCTGAAAGAGCCAACCTTCCTAATTCTAGGAGTGGCCCATCTGAGGTTTCCCACGAGTGCTCGGACCACTTGAGACCAACTGCTTAGATGTGGCTTCTTTTGGGTAAGGGAGGTCACCAGGAGTCTTTTTTGGTGGTACAGACTAGAAATGAAGTAAATTACTATTATGCTAAATCTTTTTGCCAAAAGCTGCCTGAACCCCACTGCCACGTGTGCGCTTTACGCCAGTTGCCCGCCCGAGTTAGGCCCAAATGAATACACAGAAACTTGTATGAGGTACAATGCTGCTTGGCCAATGACTAGGATTCTCATCTGTTAGCTCAGTCTCAATTATCATAAATCTATATATTTTATAAGACTTATCTTATCGGACTCCTTAATGGTGTCCCTCCTTGTCGGTGAATCACATTGTGCTGCAGAGCAGAGGGGAAAGAGGGCATACTTCCTGTTTCCTCGCTTAGATATGAGTCTCCTTGCCATGTCACTTCCTGCCTGGATCATCACTTCTCTACTACATTTCCCAGAATCCTCTTTGACTCCTAGTCCTTGCTTGCCATTGGCCAAACAGTGTTTTATTCAACAATCAATAAGATAAACATACAAAGAAGGACATTCCCCAACATCTCCTCTTTTCTGTCTAAATAAAAAGAAGGATAACTTATCTTTTACAATAACTGAAGAAAACTATAACTGTAACTATCTGTCTTTAATTCTATTAAAAGCCATAGAAAGATAATATATAAACTCTAGAATTGACAGAGACATCCACTACCTGGACAGTCATCCAAAGTTTCTCTGTAATGTTGGGGCATCCATCTTTAGCCCATAGGCCACAGTGTGTCCAGCACACTTCTCCATTTCAACAGGAACCCTTCAGTACTGTCTTGTTTTGTAAGTTCAGCAGTCACTTTCTTGTGGGTCCTGTATGTCCAGCTTATACTGTAACAAACAGTCCAGGCAAGAGCAGTTTTTTACCCAAATGGCTAATCTTGCCATGTTGAAAGCAAACTCCATAACGAGTTTCTTCAATGCCCATCCTCCTTTCTGACGTAATTGGTGTGCCAGGAGCAGTTGTGTCTCACTGCCAAGAAAAACCCTAAACCATTTACATGTCATATTTCTGTAGGTCTTTGAAAGGTTTGAAGAATATCTATCCATCTCAAATACATCTCTGTAAATCTAGAAAACCTAGCTAACTTAATTATAAGTTCTGACTATTATAGGTAAAAGATCTGTATAAACACAATACCTAAACAAGAGGAGACATATCCATATCACAAAATTGACCTTAAAGTTGTATCAATAAATGAAAATCCATACCAATGCAAAGTATTCATTCCTACATCCTATTCCCCTTCTTTTCTTTAAAAAACATTGACTATGCTCATTATCATTTATAACCAACTCCATTTAAATGAAAACAAACATTCAAAAACAATATTTGGGAATTTGGGTGTGCTTTTCTTTGCTGTTTTCCCTTTCTTCCTTTTTCAGACAGGATTTCTTCACCTAGGCTGGCATTGGATTGTCTATGCAGCTGGAACTGACTTTAAACTCTCAATGCCCCTGCTTCTACTTCTAGTTCTAAACTGGGATTACAGAACATCATGGCTTGCTACATGATGATTTTAATTTGCTTTTTTGCCCCCTTGAAGTTCTGGGAGTCAAACCAAGGGCCTTTTATGTTCTAGGCTGCATTTTGTTTTTCTTTCTTTTCTGTTTGTGTTTTTTTTTTTTTTTTGTCCAGGGTCTTACTATGTAGTCCGGGCTGGTCTGGAACTTGCTATCTAAGCTAAACTGACCTCAAACTCACAAGATTCACCTGCCTCTGTCTCCTGAGTTCTATGATTAAAATTGTGCACCATAACCAGCCCTAGGCTGAATTTTCCTAGTAACTACTAACATTCCAATTATCTTCTTACATCTTTTATTTAATTGGTTTTTGTAGATTTACTTTGTGTTTGAGGGCTATGTTTGCATGCGTGCATGACAATCATGTGCCTGTCTGGTGCCTGTAGTCAGAAGTGACCTAGGAACCCCAGGAACTGGAGTTACAGACAGTAGAGAGCCACTATGTGGGTTCTGGGAATTGAACCCCAGCCTTCTGCAAGACTAAGAAGTACTCTTAACCACTGAGCCATCCCTCCAGTCCCACATTTTTTAATTCTTGTAATCCCAGGATGCTAAGTCCCTCCGTCCCTCCCTCCCTCCCTTTCTTTGGCTTTTCAAGACAAGGTTTCTTTGTGTATCCCTGGCTATCCTGTAACTCACTCTGCAGACCAGGCTGGCCTTGAACTCACAGAGATCCACCTACCTCTGCCTCTCAAGTGCTAGGGTTAAAGGCGTGCACCACCACTGCCCAGTTTGGATGCTAAATATTCTTACCAGCTGTCCAACATTGGGGACTCCTTCAGGGGACTCCATCTCCAAGAAAAGCATAGCTTTGCCTTTTTGTAACCCTGTTTGAGAAACTTGAATGTTTAATTAGCTTTCTAACCAACCAAATTTCTGCACTTTGATTCTGAAGTAGTGGGTTTTGATTGAGCGGACTACTTTTTTTTTTTTCAAGACAGGGTTTCTCTGTGTAGCTTTGGAGACAGAGACTGTCAAATCTCTAAATTTGTAGCCAGCCTGGTCTACAGAGTGAGTTCCAGGACAGCCAGGGCTACTCACAGGAACCCTGTTATGGAAAGGGGGGAAAATCTGTTTGGATTGCAATTGTGATGCTGAAGTTACAGTAGCAAACATTTGCTTTTGTTCATACATTTTTTTCCACTCTAGTGGATATGCTCAAGAAAGGCAATAATTTAAAAAGTCTTGTCTGGCCCTGGTGGTGCACCTTTAATCCCAGCAACCGGGAGGAATAGGCAGGAGGATCTCTGAGTTCCAGGCCAGCCTGATCAAAATCAGAGAAACCCAGTCTCAACCCACACAAAATAAAATAAAATAAAATAGGAAATAGGAAAAGAAGATCTTGAATTCTGAGTCCATCTTTTAAGGTTTTGTTTTGTTTTTCTTCCCTCCCCCAGACAGTTTCTCTGTGTAGCTTTGGAGCCTATAGACCAGACTGGCTGGCCTCAAAGTCACAGAGATCCGACTGCCTCTGCCTCCCAAATGCAGGGATTAACATCTAGTGCCACCACTACCCCGACTGAGGCCATCTTTTAAGCCCCCTATATGTGCCCTCAAGTTGCCAGTGACTTTGAACATTAAGGGATTTTATTTATATGATGATGGTATGTATTTCTAAGTAGGTTTTGCTTTTTATTAATCTATTACAAAACAGGAGCCAAGTAACTGATTGATTCTGTAATTTGGAGTCAAAGATCAACATAGTATAAATTTGAGACATTAATGTCTCCTAGTATTCACACATAGATGTATTATCTCCTAGAAAGTCTAAATTCAAGCCCCATTCAGGCTATGTGGATTCCCCTCCTATTTCTCTGTCTCTGACCTTGACCCACTCTTAGATTTCTGGCCCCTCCCCTGTTGCTCCCCTTTGCTGGCAACCGCCAATTAGCAGGGGATGCAGACCTTCCTCTCTCCCTATAGATGACATGCTTGTTGCTCAGTTCTGGTTGCTCAGTTTTTACAATGCAGACTCCCGGATACGAGCCCTGGATATCTTTATTTCAACTGGTCAAGTGTGAGGCATAGGATACAGCAACATTTGAAAGTATTCCAAAGGATTCTATTAGGCAGCTGTAGCAGAAAATCAGCATTTTGAGTGTTTCTTCAGAATCCCACTGTCTGATCCTGAGATTTACCTCTGTTTAGACAGCAAATGTTCAAGACTAACAGGAAAGTGAACCCTACTGAGAAATTCTGATTATGAGGCCCTGGAAAAAGTCTTCCTTTTGATGTAGTTAGTGAGATAGCAGAGAGGCTTCTTTCCCTGTGTTCTCTGAAGAGCAGAGTCCTGGAACTACCTTGGAATTGGGGCTCATGATCTTGTCCTGAGATAAGCAGGTTGAACTGCTAAATCTTATCTTTTTACTCAGGCTTGATCTGACTCATACAAAAGAAACCAAGAGACTTGCTTTATGAAGCTGGGATTGTAATTACTTAATTTGTAGTGAGAAAGATAATTGTCATGGTTACTGGTGATTGTAAGGGCTGCAACTGAGTTTTATGAGGGTGCTTGGAGAATATAATCAGACCAAGAAGAAAACTGGATGGCATAACATTGTAGTTAATTTATTTCTCACTCTAGCAGGAGGCTTAGTTGGTTCAACAGACCAATTATAAAGCCAGCTCTGGCAGGGTTCAAATACCATCTCATTTCTGAGCAACCTCTGGTCAATATTCTTCAAACACTTCAAGGTCCTTATCTATAAAAACCTATAGGAAAATTATCAAGATTGTGGGACATTGCAGTTGTAAGTGTCATCTTCCTGAAAGTCATCAGGCACACTTCAAAGGTTACATGAGATGATTTGTGAGTGAACTTGACCATGGAGGCAGGAAAGAATAATAGTTAGAAAATATTTAACCTAAAACCTTTCTTCTTTTTATCCCTTAGTGGTTATGAAATATGGAGAGACATGATTTCTTTTTTTTGCTCAAAGACATATTAAGGAAAAATTATCAACAGAGTATTCATTATATTTAAAATGGACCAATCACATGAAATTTTGTATAACTCTACTCTGTCACCCTTGCTCAGTTTCATCACTAAGAGGACTTTTTTTAAAAAAGCCACCTTCTCATTCCAAAGCAAAAATTTAATTGTGGAGGTTTCCAATGTGAATTTTAGTGATGTCCTTCAGGAAGCTTTGGTTGGACAAGGGGAAATGAAACCGATGGCTTTGCTGTTAGCCAATCCCTTAAGGTGTCAGTATTCTAGTGCTATGAAGAGACACCACCACCACAGCAACTCCTTTATTTTATTTTATTTTAATTTTTTTGGTTTTTCGAGACAGGGTTTCTCTGTATAGCTTTGGAGCTTATCCTGGTACTCGCTCTGGAGACAGGGTGGCCTCAAACTCAGAGAGATCCACCTGCCTCTGCCTCCCGAGTGCTGGGATTAAAGGCGTGTGCCACCAACGCCCAGCTCACAACAACTCTTATAAATGAAAGCATTTATTGGGGCTGGTTTACACTTCAGAGATTTAGTCCATTATCATAATGGTAGGAAGCATGGCAGCACACTGGCAGACATGGTGCTGGAGAGATAGCTGAGAGTTCTTCTACATCTGGATCAGCAGGCAGCAGAAATAGAGAGTGACACTAGGCCTACCTTGAGCTTCTGAAATATCAAAGCCCACCCCCAGTGACACACTTCCTTCAACAAGGCCACCTTTTAATAGTACCACTCCCAGTAGGCCTATAGGAGCCATTTTCATTCAAACCACCACAGTGCCTACAAACCAAGTAGGCTGAAGGTTTTGCCCTCCCTCACTCATCTCCAAATCCACTCTTTCCTTAGCACATATGATGTAGAAGTCCTCAGATATTGGGGTCCAAAAGATGAGAATATCCTAACAGTGGTCACAAAAAGGTACTCCATTTACTCACTGCCAGGATAATAAGATGAATATTCATGATGCTTAAGTAAAATAGGAGTTTTGCGTTTTTCCAGGTCTTTCCTTGCATTAATTGTTGACCAGAAGGGCTGCCTAACTCTCCACCAGGCTTCCCTTGAGCAATACCTACAAAGTAAATTAAGTCTCAGCATGAAGACTCATCAAGAATATTCCTAGACTGAATCCCAATCCTTTAGCTAAGTTTCTGAGGGGATAGAAAACCTTGTGGAATTCTTAGGGGTTCATGTTACTATTGGATAGCTGAGGGATTGGAATAATATTTCCACTTTACACTATGGCCATTTACATTTTTAGATTAATTCGCTAACTGCGAGGTCAAGTGGAAATTTCAAATAATTTTTTATAGTTGGTATTTACATTTTGTCTCCTTTTGCTCTTCTGTACATGATACTGAACAAGAAATGAAACTTAATCCATTTTTTCTTGAATTTCCCTAAGATGTTTGACCACCACCACTGATGTAATGCTCTTGAACCCCACTACCTGGATCTTTGTTTACTCCTATACCAATATAAGGCATGTATCATAAAACATTAAATTTTAAGTTAAAAGGTAAGATAAAACACAAGTAGAGGTTTTAATACTTTCTCAACTGCAAAATAATGTGGGACCTACAGAAGTGAATCTGTAGAATACCAATCCAATTTACCAACCACTCAAAAGTAGCTATAAAATGAAAAATTGAACATAAACATTTATTTCTGTCTCACTCTTCTGAAATTACATTAAGGCAACAAGTAAAGGAAAAGGGAAACTTGGAAGGAAAATAACAATGAACAAAAGATAATGTATTTTACAAGATGAGAACCAGCTAACCAGTCGGGGTAACTGAGTGGAAAACAGTACAGAAATTGTCACCACCAAAGACATAACACTTGGAGGCCACAGTGACCGGGGTGGGCTGGAGACCAGTATGAAGATGAAGGTAGAGTTGGATGACATCCTGCATCACCAGCATCAGCCCTAAGTGCCCTGCCCTATCCTATCAGTAAGCTCTTTTCTTTAAGGAAGGTTAGTTCACTGAAGAAATAGGACCAGGGAGATTTGGGATGTAGGGCACCAGGGCCTGGGGAGATGAGCTAGACAGAAAATAGTGTGAGAGCAGGTCTGCACTGAGCTGTGATTCTGGTTTTGTGTCCCCATGTTCCCCCACACACACCCTTCACCCCCGTCCCTGTATGCTGTATGGGACAAAACATGTTCTGCTCTGCCTTTGTTGAAATCTGTTGTCCCACAAGCCTGTTTTGTAGAGAATGATTAAGGTTTAAGGAAGGTTTGCACATCAGCAAAGAAAAAAATTTACAGAGCTCACTCTGTAAATCCAAGATATATAGATATTTCAGGGCATGGTGGCGCATGTATCTAATCCCAGCACTAGGCAGGCAGAAGCAAGTGGATTTCTTTGTGTTCGAGGACAGCATGGTATATACATAATGAGGTCTTGGATAGCCTGTGTGTGTGTGTGTGTGTGTGTGGTGTTGTGTGTATGTCCTTTGATAGTGATAAAATAACTAACACTTGCTTAAGCTTTGTGCATGCCCGGGCCCCTTTGATCCATTGTCTCTGATGGTCAAATACCGCTGCACAGGAAGCAATCTGTTGGCCTGTGTATGACTCATGAAGAACTGAGCAGTCACGCATTGGAAGAAGCTGGTGGAGTCAAATCCCAGCCAGGATGTCAAAGTGCAGAGTCCTTGTTTTTACGCCCTCCACCCAGCTGTCATTGCACTTGACCAACATGGTGAAACCATAACCTTGATTAAATATCCTCAATACTGAAGCCAGCTAAGGACTTCCCTGATTATGTGTGTAGACAGAATCAAATAACTCAGACAAAATGGCCAATTTCATTGTAGTTTTGAGGTCCATGGTTCTTGTTAGCATCTGGACTTTTTTTTCACTTTTTCTGTTTTCCAGATTTTAAAATATTTTGACAACTTTGTAATAACTATCTCTAGCACATCTTTATTCAACAGTTGCCTGAAACTGCTAGGTTGAATAATGAACGGCCTTTTATGAAGTCCTGTATTGCTTTCAAATTTCTTATTGACACACAGTGTTTGCACATTTTCTACTCTTTTTAATAAAATAATAGAGCAAAAAAACTTCAAATTGTTCTCTCTCTCTCTCTCTCTCTCTCTCTCTCTCTGTTTCTCTCTCTGTCTCTGTCTCTCTCTTCCCAAGACAGTATCTCTCTACATAGCTCTGGCTGCCCTGAAACTTGCTCTGTAATACAAGGCTTGCTTCGAATTCACAGAAATCCCCCTGCCTCTGCCTCCCTAGCACTGGGATTAAAGGTGTGCGCCACCACCACCTGATTCAAAAACCATTCCTGTTCAAGCAGAGACTCAGCTTCTGCTTCACCCACTGGGCAGCACTTCAGAGCTGTGCTCAGACTGTTCTCCAGCCTGCAGAGGAAGGTGGGATTGCCTATACTGTCCTGAAAAGCTCAGGTGAATGAGCCCATACATTGCTCTCCTGGGACAGTAGAACAGTGGCTCCAGTGGTCTGAGGACTGACTGCCAGAGTTCAAGCACTAAGGATCTTGGTCACCCCACCTCTGAGATCCATTGAATCCGTGAAATAGAGAAGACCTGCTTCTTGGTTTGTTTTAAGGATCGAATGGCTTAAGACAGATAATACATTTAAAGAGCACCCCAAATATTGAGCAATATGATAATATATTTGGTGGGTTCTTGTTGTTGGTGATGTTTTGGTTTTAAGAAAGAGTTCCTGGCTATTCTGGAACTCACAAAGATCCACCTGCCTCTGCTCCTAAGTGCTGGGGTTGAAGGTGTGCACCACCACTGCCCACCTTCAACAATTTCTTAATTGAATGAATGAGTCTTTGGAGTGGGGGTGGGAGTCATTCAGCTTTGGGTGTCTTCACCCATGGTGGGGTGGTACTTTTCTTTGATGTGTTTGATTTTGAGTAAGAAACCCCTTCACTCAAGTTCCTGTAAGTAATTCCAATAAGCTTATCATTTCACTACTGATAACAAAAGTAATTCTGATTGAAAGAAAGTTCAACTGATCACGAACTGAATCCAGAGAGAGAGAGAGAGAGGGGATGAGCCTCACAGTTATCTGTGCCTTCAGCTGCTTCCATTGCTCAGAAATCAAGGTGCAACCCCTAGTAACTGATTCATAGGAAAAGACTTATCTGGTGGACATATCTGCAAAGGTTGCTGGGGCTTTTGCTGAAGCTGTAGAAACTGCATATAAAGCCACCCTCTCTCCCACGCTGCTTCCCCACCCAGTTTAAAAGCATTAGAATTGGCACCGCCTAGGAAAATGTCACAGACTCAGGGCTGTCTGTTGGTGTCACCAGAAGGCCTGAGAATCCAGCTGGTAGAGGAAGGTGTGCAGCATGCAAAGGTGAGTGTCCCTGTCACCGCCAATGTGCTATAATGTCACTGGTCTGTACGTGCTTTAGTGAGGGCCAAAGGACAGGGTGGAGGGAAAGGAACGAGGAAAATTCCATGTTTTCCTGCTCAGGCCTTCAAACATTTTTCCATAGATACTGGACTTGCCCAATCCTGCAGGACTAGAGATCAGGTGTGTTTTTAAGAACTGAAAGGACACCGAGAGAGGTCTTTCCCTCCCAGTAACTGTGGTCCATGGTAGGAGACACCCATGCCTCTCCGCATTTTCATCACTTTCCATCTGTCCTGTTTGATCCTTCTAGGGTTGACTTCTGCCAGTTACAGGTGGAAAAGAGCATGGGGAACACAGAGAACAGGAATCTGTCCAAAGACATGAGCAAGGGTGAACTTAGGGGCTGGAGTGGACGAGGAAGCTCAGTTCCCTGAACTCATCTGGGGTCCTTGGTGAAGAAGGAGAGAGTGGATGGGCAGGAGGAAGGTCCAGATGTTGGAATTGTGTAAGAACTATTCTTGTTTTGTGTATTTGTTGTAGGGAGCTAATGATTTTTGGATAGGTTGGCAGCCAGCAAGCCCCAGCAATCCTGTCTCAGTTCCCTCACCCCCCTTGTGCGTGTGTGTGTGTGTGTGTTGGTGTGTGTGTGTGTGTGTTGGTGTGTGTGTGTGTGTGTATCCAGGCATGGTGGCATATTCCTTTAATTACAGCTCTTGTGAGACAGAGGCAGGCAAATCTCTGTGAAGTTAAGGCAAACCTGGTCTATATAGAATTCCAGGCCAGCCAGGGCTACATAGTGAGACCCGTTTTCCCTTCCTTCTTCCTGAAAAGTATTTAATACCTTTTCCAACACAGACTCTACTAATAAGAACTGTAGCTATCTGAAGTAGGGCGGGCTGGCGCCTGCTTCCTGACCAGTAGCTGCATCTCTCTCTAGGCTGTGTCCTCCTCCAGGGAATGTCTGCCCCCTCCTTCTGTTTGCTTCAGGAGGAGTTGGGGCTCAGGATTGAATGAACTGCCCTTTCTGCCTCTTAGACAGCTCTGAGCATTTTGTTGTTATTGTTCTGCTTTTAAAGACAAAGACTTGGCTGTGGCTCCATTGGTGGAGCACTTGCCTGGCAGACATGAAGTCCTGGGTTCAGTCCCTTAGCATTGCATAGTCCGGGTGTGGAGGCACATGTCTGTAAAAGCAGCATTAGGGAGATGCAGGAAGGAGGAGCAGAGATTCAAATTCAAGGTCATCCTTGGCTAAAAAGTGCATTTGAGGCCAGCCTGGACTATATAAGACCTTGTTTAAAAAAGAAGAAGAAGAAAAAAAAGAAAGAACTATTACCACAACACAAAGAAAACAAATATCATAACAGAGAAATTCTGTTAAAGATTTATTTCTGTAACTTTAAAAAAAATTCATGTGTATGTGTATGTGTGACTGTGTGAGTGAATGTCACATGTGTGTGGGAACCCACAGTTCAGAAGACAGTGTCAGATCCTTTAGAGATGGAGTTCCAGGTGGTGGTGGGCCACCTGGGGTGGGTTCTGGGAACTGAAGCCAGGTCCTGTGGAAGAACAGCAGTAACTGCTGAGCCATATTTCCACCCCCTACAGTGAATTATTAAGCCAATTCTTTTTTTATGATTTTTCTCTTTTTATTATTTTTTTATTTTATTAGTTCTAGTTAGGGAACAAGCTTATTTCAAGTCCCCTCTCCCTCTCCCTCCCCTCACCCCCCAAGCCAAACCAATTCTTAAAAGCTTTGTTTAAAGTCCAAGATCAGAGTCCTAAATTATGACCCCTGGGTGTCACTTGTCCCCACTACCTTTAAACAACAAACAGTTGAATATGCTGGTTATGATAATAGATGAAATGAACTAGATATTATAATCCTGCTTTGCTTTGAATTGTTTTACAAGAGAAAGTATCACTAAGCACCCACCAAGAACAGCTCTTGGTGTGATCAGCAGTGATACAACTGAAACTAAAAAAAAATATTTATTTTTATTTCGTGTGCCTTGGTGTTTTGCCTGCGTGCATGTCTGTATGAGAGTGTCAGATCCCCTGGAACTGTAGTTACTGACAGTTGTGAGCTGCCATGTGGGTGCTGGGGATTGAACCCCTGGATGAATAGACAGTGCTCTTAATCACCAAGCTATCTCCCTCGCTCCACAGCCTAAGCTGAGAAAAGCTTTTTCCCCCTTAAAAAAGTGTTATGATACTTACAATACCCGCCCCTCTCTTTTTGAGCTAAATCATGTTTTTAAAGATACAGTGTTCTGCATGCATGTATGCCTGCAGGCCAGGAGATGGCACCAGATCTCATTATAGATGGTTTTGGGCTAGCATGTGGTTGCTGGGAACTGAACTCTGGACCACTGGAAAAATAGCCAGTGCTCTTAAGCTCTGAACCCCCTCTCCAGTCCCACAATACTCATTTCAAGTGGGCAGGTCAATGGTTTTTAGTATATTCACTAAAAATACACATGGAAGGTCTTGATGTTGGGATTCATGTTTCTTTCTTAATTTTCTTTTTAAGACAGGGTCTAACTACACAGCTCTGGTTATCCTGGAACTTGCACCAGGCCTGCCTCCAAACCACCGAGATACACCTGCTTCTGCCTCCTGAGTGCTGGGATAAAAGGTGTGCGCCACCACACCTGGCTCTACAGATTCACCTGCTCTTGAAGTTCATGTAAATGAAATAATGTATTTGTGGTTTTCTGTGACCAATTTCTTTCACTGATAGGAATGTTTACAGGGGTCACCTATGTTGTAGCATATATCAGTGTTCCATCGTTCATAGTGGCTGCATAATACCTTATAAGATGAATATACATTTGTTTTTCCCGACCATTAGCCAATGGATGTTTGAATTGTTTCCACTCTGACTTTTATGAGTTGTGTTTCTCTGAACATTGATCACAAAATGTATACAAGCAGCTGTTGTCTTCCTGGTGCCAAGCTGGTGGCTCAGATGTGGTCGTGGTTGATGAATGCCTTGACTAAGAATTTGAAGAGAATCTTTGGTTTTGTCTTTAAGACTGATGTCATTGTCAACTCCATTCCCTTGGATCTTGCACTCAACAAAGGACCCCTTTCTCAAGCCTTATTGGAAAAGGCTGGGCCAGGCCTCCAGGAGGAATTGATTGAAGCAGGACAAGGGATCGCTGTCAGTGCGGGCACAATTCTACAAACCTGTGGCTATAATCTGAACTGCTGCCATGTATTTCATGTGGTGGTTCCAGACTGGGAAGTCAACAACAGCGCATGGTCCCTGAATGTATGTCCCAGCTTTATATTTTTCAGGAAATGGGGTAGGGGTAGCTCTCTGAACTCCTTCCCATAGCACACCACAGCTAGTCCCTTCCCTGCCTCTTCTCTGTGACATCATGAGTTTGACAGGTCCCATACCATGGCCATTTCTTTTCACTTGTAGATGACTTCTTGTAGGTCATAGTTAATAATGTAAGTTAGTTCTTGTGCTCAGCAATTATTGACAGTCAGGGAAGAGTTGGAGGAATACACTACATTTATTGAGAAAAATAAGATAAGGGCTTGAAACTGGGAGACAGTGACAGACAGGGGCAGCTGTTGCCTGTCCTCTTTGCTTCATGGTGGAATGTGTCTGCACTCTTGTAAGGGAATCTCATGTTCTCTTTCTCATTTCTTCTCCTGAATTTTCCTCTTTAGACTGCTGTTCAACTTCTGTTGAAAGCATAATTGATTGGACAGTGCTCCTAGTAATAGCTGCTGAGTGCTTATTTCCTGGGGTCTTTCATTTCTAAACAAGACATTTAAGGAAATGTTTATTGCCTTTCAGATCATGAAAAACATCATCAGAGACTGTCTGAGGATGGCCGAGGAGCAGTCTCTGCAATCAATTGGATTTCCAGCAATAGGAACAGGAATTCTGGGGTTTCCTAAACCCAAATTTGCTAAATTAATAATCTCAGAAGTGCTCAAATTTAGTAGCAGGAACCTGAAAACTTTACAGGAAGTTCAGTTTCTGTTGCACCCAAAAGACCAAGACAACATTAAGGTACAGACTCGGCTTGCTTCTGCTTACTTTTCCAACTGCAGTTCAGGACCTGTGTTCTTCTAAGTCTTCTTGGACTAGGATGGTTTTTGATTGATTGTTTGTTTTGTATTTTGAGACAGGGTTTCTCTGTAGCTTTGGAGCCTGTCCTGGAACTCTCACTCTGTAGGCCAGGCTGGCCTCCAACTCACAGAGATCCACCTGTCTCTGTCTCCTGAATGCTGGGATTAAAGGAGTGTGCCACTACTGCCCAGTGATATGTATATTTTCATAACTTTAAAAATATATAAGTAAAATTTAAAATGTAGAAGTAAATTAAATACTACTGTCTGACAGTTATTATTTTCTTTTTTTTAAGGTTTTTCTAGACAGGGTTTCTCTGTGGCTTTGGAGGTTGTCCTGGAACTAGCTTTTGTAGACCAGGCTGGTCTTGAACTCAGAGAGATCTGTCTGTCTCTGCGTCCCTCGTGCTGGGATCAAAGGTGTGCGCCACCTCCACCCAGCCTTTTTCTTTTCTTATTTTTTAGGGTTATTATTTTCCAACTCTGTGTGTGTGTGTGTGTGTGTGTGTGTTGTTTGCTGATGTGTTCTAGGTGCTGTAGTAGAGAGAATCTCACCAAGATGCTAAGCCTTCATTTTCTGAAGGAGCAGAGGAAAAGACTGACACCTGGCTAACTCACTCCTGTTACTTTATTCAAATAGATACAAGGCCAGTAGGGGCTGGGAAAGGTTCCAGTTCACAAAGTTATCTTGTTCTTGGTGCCCATGACAGCAGACAACCCACACTCAGTCCCCTTTGACTATGGCAACCACACTCAAAAGTAAGAGCTACAGGTCTGCCATGAGTGTCTTAGGATCAAGGGTGGCGCAGCTGCAAGCTCTCTTGTAGCACCAAGGGCAGATTGTCCAAAGAGACAGCATTCCTTTAAGATCAAAAAGTCTCAAAACAATTTCCCAGCCTCTACAGATTAACCCAAACATAGCAAAGGCTTTGCTGAAACATTTCTCTCAAAGCCAGACACACAGCCTTTACAATCCATTTCTCTCAAAGCCAGACACAAAGCCTTTACTATACATTTCTCTTAGAGCCAGACACAAAGCCAGACACGTGTTACTGCACGTGTGCATACAGAATCCAAAGCCCCGAGCAAGCAAACTCACTCATCCAGGAGGGAGTGTAATGGCTAAAACTGTGTTTGTATTTTCAGGCATTTTCAGATGAATTTGACAGAAGGAGTAATGGAAACCCTACCGGCAAAAGTCCCAAGGCTAAAGACACACAAGGTTCAGTAGTCTTTAAGTTGACCAGTGATTTCTTGTTACCAGGTAACTGTTCAGTGACAGGTAAAGGATGATGGTGATCAAACTATGGAACTTACTAAATTATATTCCATACATGTGAGTATAAAAGACACTGGCCTGTTTGTGGGGCTTGAGGCAAGAAGGAAATGTGGACCAAATTATATAGTCTGTACAGCAGGATTTGTAAATTACCAATGAGACTGCCACCTCTAATGGGTAATGTGACATGTATTTTCCAAGAGATACATTAAGGGATAATACAAGCCAACACTTCTCTGTCAAATGTGGTTTGAGTTCATCTTGTTTGGGGTTCACTAGAGCTTTGTTTTGCTATGTTGCCCAGGATGGCCCCAAACTCCTAAATTCAAGCCATCCTTCTGTCCCAGCCCTGGGCCAGGGCCATAATAAAAAGACAGTCAGTACAGTGATAGGGCAGCCTGTGACCTCAGTTACTCTTGCTCCTGATGACTTGGTTTCTGATTCTGCCTTTTTTTCTTTCTGGGCAGGTTATTACGGGAGTCTTTCCAGTCCTACTTCAGGAGTTCATGAAATGAATATTGGCCCAATTCTCTTCCAAGTGGCCACAGGGGACATCACCCAAGGAAAAGCAGATGTGATTGTCAATTCAACATCAAACACATTTACTCTCAAATCAGGTAACTTATGGAGATGGATTCTGTCTCAAGCAGTCATCAGTGTGGTAGATCCTATGAAGAAATGTTTCTATAAACAAAATGGTTTTGTGGACTTGTTCTTGTTCCTGTTAATAAATATCTTTAAAGATATTTTGCTGGGCTTTCTTACAACTGGCAACATTTTTGAAATTCTCTTCTCTTCCATAATGCCCAGGCATGGGTCTGCTCATTGATGGGGTGTGTGGAGATACAAAGGCTGCCTTTCTGGTCAAGTTACCATCTTGATTTTCTCATGCAGGGGTGTCCAAAGCAATTTTGGAAGGTGCAGGACAAAATGTGGAGGCAGAGTGTTCTGTCTTGGGTAAGGATCGATGCTGCATCTTGGTGCCAGATTTGTAAGGGGAAGATTGACTATGGGAGGCTGTGAGGAAACTCAGAAAGATCTTTGGGCTGGGCAGTTATGTATTAATGTTTGTTTTGAGACCCATGTATCAATCTTAAGGTCATACTATTTTATGAAAGAACTCCATATGAAAGAAAATTAAAAATGGAATGTTATCTCACAGTTAAGAGAAACTAAGCCACAAAATTTTACTAATCATACTATTTCAAGAGCTTTTAATTCATAAAATATTTCCTCATCAAATCTTGCTTTCTCCAAGAGTAGGTTCACCATCTGATTGAGTCTGTTTATGTTCACAGCTCAACAGAACAAGGAGTATATAGTTACTGAAGGTGGATTACTGAAATGCAAGAGTATTATTCATGTTGTTGGTGATAATGATGTCAAGAGATCAGTTTCCTGTGTGTTGGAAGAAAGTGAACAATGTAACTATAAATCCATTTGCCTACCAGCCATTGGCACAGGTTTGTATCCACAGGCTATCAATGCTCAATCCCAAAATGTCCACTTCCCCATGGATTTGCTCCTCACTGGGTCTGGTGATGACAGTGACACCTCACCTAGGAATAAACAATTTCCTCACTCCAAGGCACCCCAATCTAGCAGGGAATGAGTAAAACCTGGGGTAATTAAGTAGAAGGAGGAAAATGAGCGCCTGTGGCCCCAATTACTGGAAGGACTGAGGCAGGAGGAGTGACCTGTGTTCCCACCATTGTCTAGAGTTTACTCAAAGGCATTTACTGTAATTTTCTGCCACATTGGTGGGCGCCATTAACAGGAATAATCCAAATGGGCTCTCAGTCTATCAGACCAGCTTGCCCAGGAGACTTGTATTGCCTGTCATGTGACTTTGGTAGCTTCCATTCACTTTGGGCCACACCCATGATTAGAAAGGGACATTTCAGTCTTACCTAGCCAGTGGGTTCTAGGGCTTGAGAAACAAGATCTGGAACATGCTGCAGACAGGAGTGGATCTACTCAGTGGCTGCTTTGAATGCTGCTGGCAGCTAAAATTGTACAGAGTATGGGAAGGACAGACATCCTGGAGGCTCCAAGTGACTAATGCACCTAGAATAGACAGTAACAAGTAGCTCACAGTTTTGGGTATCTTAGTTTAAATTAGTTCCCTAGAGAGTAGCTGGGAGAATCGTGACACATGCAGAAAATTTATCAGAGGCTAGACTGTCTCTGTAAGGGCCATGTTGTTTCAAGGTGTGTGTGTGTGTGTGTGTGTGTGTGTGTGTGTGTGTGTGTGTGTGTGTATACATATGCATTGCCTTTTATGATCTTTTGAGGACACTAGTAAATCAAGAGGGGAGGAAAGTCACCTGCACTCTGTAATGGAAGGGGAGTGACACTGGGAGCCATGGTCAGCTGAAAAGGACAGATGTGAATGTCACAAATTAAAATGGGTTTTAGGGTCTTTACCTGGGATGTTGACCTGTTCAAAAACACACTGTTTTTGGAGAAGAAAATAGAGCAGACAGTTTTCCAAGTTGATCCCAGCACTTGGAATCACAGAACTTTAATCCCATGTGTACAGCATGGAACAGAAACTCCCCTCCACTGTGTCTAGGACATCAAAACTATTTGCTGACGTGATGTTAGAAAAGTTTACAGTGATTAACATGGGAGTAGACATTTTTCTTTCCTGTGACAAATGAAATTCCTTCTTTATGGAGAAGCTATTTGCAGGTGGAACTTAACCTTGTCTTTTTGTGTATGTTTTTAAAGGAGATGCTCAACAGGACCCAGATGCAGTTGCTAAGGCCATAATGGATGCCATTGAAGAATTTATCCAGAAAAAAGCAGTGTGGTCTGTGAAGAAAGTGAAAGTTGTCATCTTCCAGCCCCATATTCTGAAAATTTTTTATGACAACATGAAAGACAGAGAAGTCTCCCTGCCTCCTCCCCAGACATCTATGCTGTCTAAGATCGCCTGTGAGTTGTTTGCTTTTATAAAATACATATTCGTGACCTTGATGCTGTAGGGAATAAAAGAAAATTAATTTTAATTTTCTCTTTAGCCTTTCTTGGCTTTTCAAAGCATGCTCCCCCCAAAAAAACAGAACACTCTGTTTTTAGAGAAGAAAATAGAGCAGACAGTTTTCCAAGTTGATCCCAGCACTTGGAATCACAGAACTTTAATCCCAGGAAGTAGGAGATATAAAAGGAAGAGGCAGCAGTCAGGCTAGAGATCTACCACTGTCCTATTTCGACTTAAATTCCCCCCCCCATTTAGAACATGCTTCCAAGGTCGTCCTGATACCAGTGGTCCATGGTCTACAATCATCCTTTTAGAAAGACAAGGAAATTCTTGAATACATAGAATTAGGAGACTGTATAGCACAAGAGGGAAGCAGGTTTTGCCAAAGCATACCAAATACAGACACGGGAGTTCTCAAATGTTTATTTTTCAGCTGAAATCCCTGTAAATTGGAGTGACATGAAGCAGAAGAAATTGGTTGAGGTCATTCTGCAACCCAGTAGTCCTGAATATAACATGGTGGCAAGCAAGTTCAACCAGACCTGCACAAACTTTACCATAGAGAATGTAAGTCAGCTGCTGATGAGTTTCCTAATGGTGGAAATAAGGGATATAACAATCCTGAATAAACCCACTCACATATGAGTCTGTAGAGGTGGCTTAGGGGGTCAAGATTTTCTGCTGCTCCTTCAGAGGACCCCAAGTTCCAAGTTTGGTTTCCAGACTCACATCAGGGAGCTTACCAGTATGAAACGGTGGCACTGGCACTCTGAAAGTATGCTCTTCTGTGAGCACAGTGACTATGTTTCATTTTATTCATCCCTCTCCTGGCAACTGTGAGCACACAGATTTACATGTGTCAACCCCAAATACACATACTTAAAAATTAAAAATAAGATCTTGAAAGATACACTCACTTTCACTTCTGATCATACTTTTATTATGCAGAATCAGTCACGTTTGTCTGGCCTGTTCTCTCCTTCCACCTTCCCATGGGTTCTGAGGGTTGGGTTCAGGACACCAGGCTTGCAGAGAAGTCACCTTGACTTGCTGAGCCATCTCACCAGCACCACCTTCAGTTTGTGAAGGAAATGTTTGCTGGGTTTAGAATTCTAAACTGGCAGTTATTTTCAGTGATTCCACTAGGCTTAGACTTTATTGCTTCATTTTGTATCTGTCTCTTCTCTCTGGGATCCTGTCTCATCAAACCCTTATCTTCACCCCCTATGCACCCCTGCATCTTCTGGCAGCTATTGGTGAGGGAGTAAATATGATTGGCATGATAGTCAAGCTAAATAAATTTTAAGGTTTATTTTTCTTCCTTCTCTTCCTTTCTTCCCTCCATCCTTCTTCCTGTGGTGCTGGGAATTGAGGCCAGGGCCTCTCACACACTGGGCATGTACCCTACCACCAAGTTATGCCATTACATCTGAGAGAATTATGTGCTGTTTTTTTAATTTAATTTTTTAATTTAGAAACAATCTTACTTTACATATCAATCACCCCCGTTACCTCTCCCTCCCATCCTCCCATGCCCCCTCCCATCCTCCCATGCCTCCCACTAACCCCCCATCCACTCCCCACCCACTCCCCAAGCACAACGAGACCTTCCATGGGGAATCAGCAAAGTCAGTCACATCATCTGGGGGAGAACCTAGGCCCTTCTCCGTGTATCTGGGGTGAAATAGTATCACTCCATAGGGAATGGACTCCCAAAGTCCATTTGTGCACTAGGGATAAATACTGGTTCCACTGTTAGAGGACCCATCCACTGCCCAGGCCTCCTGACTGGCTTCCACATTCAGAGGGTTTTGTTGGGTCCAATGCTGGTTCCCCAGCTTTAAGATTGGGGTCCCTGTGCTCTCAGTAGGTCAGGTCAGCTGGTTGTGTAGGTTTCTCCAGCACAGTCTTGACTGCTTTGCTCATCCCTCCTCACTCTCTACAACTGGATTCCAGGAATATGGCTCAGTGCTTAGCTGTGAGTGTCTGCTTCTGCTTCTGTTAGCTACTGGATGAAGGATCTGGGATGGCAATTAAGGTAGTCATCAATCTCATTATAGGGGAAGGGCATCAAAGGTGGCCTCTCCACTACTGCCTAGATTCTTACTTGAGGTCATCTTTGTGGATCTCTGCACATTTTCCTAGTGCCAGATTTCTCTTTAAACCTATACTGGCTTCCTCTACTAAAGTATCTCTTTTCGTGCTCTCCTCCATTCCTCTCCTGACTCCATCTTTCTGATCCCTCATGTCCTTCTCCTCCGCTCCTCTTCTCCCGTTATCTTTTCCTATCTCCCTCCCCTTTGCCCCCATGCTCCTAATTTGCTCAGGAGTTCTTTTCCCTTTTCCTCTTTTTGGGGGACCATATTTTTTTCTCTTAGTGTCCTCCTTGTTTCCTAGTTTCTCTGGTGGTGTAGATTGTAGGCTGGTACTACTTTGCTCTGTGTCTAATATCAATATATGAGTGAGTACATACCATGCTCATCTTTCTGTGATTGGGTTACCTCACTCAGGATGGTTTCTTCCAGTTCCATCAATTTGCCTGTGAATTTCAAGATTTCATTTTTTTTTCTGCTGAGTAGTACTCCATTGTGTAAATGTACCACATTTTCTCCATCCATTCCCTTGGTTAAGGGGCGTCTAGGTTGCTTCCACATTCTGAATACTACAAAAAATGCTGCTATGAACATGGTTGAACATTGATGTGTTGATTAATATCTGGATCTTCAATTCGATTTCATTGGTCTACCTGTCTATTTTTGTGCCAATACCAAGCTGTTTTCAGGACTATAGCTCTATAATAGAGCTTAATATCAGGGGTGGTGATGCCTCCAGAAGTTCCTTTATTCTACAGGGTTGTTTTGACTATCCTGGGTCTTTTGTTTTTCCATATAAAGTTGAGTATTATTCTTTCAAGGTTTGCGAAGAATTGTGCCAGTATTTTGATGGGGATTGCATTGAATCTGCAGATTGCTTTTGGCAAGATTGCCATTTTTATTATGTTGATCCTACCTATCCAAGAGCATGAGAGTTCTTTCCATTTTCTGGTATCTTCGTTAAGTTCTTTCTTTAAAGACTCAAAGTTCTTGCCATATAGGACTTTCACTTGTTTGTTTAGTGTTACGCCAAGATATTTTATGTTGTTTGTGGCAATTGTAAAGGGTAATGTTTCTCTGATTTCTTACTCAGCCCATTTATCGTCTGTGTGTAGTAGGGCTACTGATTTCTTTTTTCAGTTAATCTTGTATCCTGCCACTTTGCTGAAGGTGTTTATCAGCTGTAGGAGTTCCCTGGTAGAGTTTTTCAGGTCACTTATGCAAATTATCATATCATCTGCAAATAGTGAATGTCTTACTTCTTCCTTTCTTATTTGTATCCCCTTGATCTCCTTTTGCTGTCTTATTGCTCTAGCTAGAACTTCAAGGACAATATTGAAGAGATATGGAGAGAGTGGACAGCCTTGTCTTGTTCCTGATTTTAGAGGAATCACATTGAATTATTCTCCATTTAGTTTGATGTTGACTGTTGATTTATTGTATTTTGCTTTTGTTGTGTTTAGGTATGTTCCTGTTATACCTGATCTCTCCAGGACCTTTATCATGAAGGGATGTTGGATTTTGTAAAAGGCTTTTTCAGCATCTAGTGAAATGATCATGTGGTTTTTCTTTTGCAGTTTGTTTATATGGTGGATTACACTGATAGATTTTTGTATATTGAACAATCCGTCTCTGGGATGAAGCCTATTTGATCATGGTCGATGATTTTTCTGATGTGTTCATAGATTCGATTTGGCAGTACTTTATTGAGTATTTTTGCATTAATGTTCATGAGAGATATTGGTCTGTAGTCTTTCTTAGTTCTGTCTTTGTGTGGCTTGGGTACCAAGGTAATTGTAGCCTCCTAAAAAGAGTTTGGCAATGACACTTCCACTTCTATTGTGTGGAACACTTTGAGGAATACTGGTATTAGCTCTTTGAATTTCTGGTAGAATTCTGCACTGAACCCTCTGGCCCTGGGCTTTTTTTTGGTTTGGAAACGTTTGATGACTGCTTCTATTTCATTAGGGGTTATAATTCTATTTAAATTGCTTATGTGTTCTTGATTTAATTTTCTTAAGTGATGTTGGCAACTCTGGATAGTCCAGCTTTTTCTGGTGTTCTCCTCACACAGAGGGCATAATGGGGACAAGACTCAAGCTCAAGCTCAAGCAGAGGGCTTGGGGAGGTCAAGACTGCAACACAGGCAGATTCTGGATACTCCGTGCTGCTGGGGTGGGTCCACTAGTTGTGGAACAGACATAGGAAGTTCCAGGAAAGGGATGGGGAGAGTCAGGCCTGAGTTGGTCCCACACTCACCTCAAGTAGAGGGCTTGGGAAGGCCAAGAATTCGATGTGGGCACACTCTAGAGAGTCCAGGCTGCTGAGGCCTATGTGCTGTTTTTTTTTTAATGTGGATATAAATCATTTATTACAAACCCTAGGTTAGGTGGAGAGAAGACTACCAAACCTCAGACTGAACTGGGCCATGATGTAGGTCTGGATACACCAACAGCAGAAATACGTTAAAATAACTCTTAAAATAGATAAAGTTAGAGCTACAAATCACAGTAGGAAAAAATAAAATAAAATAAATCCAGAAAGTCTCAGATGACCACAGCGGCATGGCAATAGAAGTAGGGCCATAAAACAATGGCTGTCATGAAAATAGGCCTATATAGGGCAATGAACTAATGGATATCATGACAATAGGAGGAGGGCCATGAAAAAATTTTCATGGAGCTCAGGCAGCAGGTACCTGGAAGTTAAAATTAGAGACGTGGATGACAGAATCCAAATAGACTTAAGAGAATAGGAAAGGGCCATTGGTTTGGGTTAGGGCTATGCTATGTGCTGTTTTTTTTTTTAAAGTAACTGTCCCTTCAGAGGTTTAAATTAAAAGATTGGATATTTCAAAACAAAAATTGAAAGTTTGTAAAGCTGAGTTAAATGACAAAATGTAAGGTGAGCAGAAATAAAATGGACACAGTGGAAGATGACAAAACAGTTGTAGGTAAATAATAAGAGGGAGAAAAGATATAAAAATCCTAAATCCCATAAGAGTTGTATGAAAACATTGAGACTTTGAACTACAGAGTCAATTTTGCCTTTTATATTTTTCAGTTTTTGATGTTTCTGAGACAGGGCCTTATGTAGTCCAGGCTAGCCCGGAATGCAGAATACAGTTCAGGCTGGCCTCAAGTCATGATCTTTCTGCTTCAATACCCCAAGTGCCAGGATTATACTCAGAGTGCACAACCACACTCAGACAACAGGGAAAATTATATATAACTCGGTTGGTAAATTTTATGAGACTCCACATAAAGTCCAGGTATGGTGGTACACCCTGGTAAGCAGAGCTGCCAAGGCAGACACAAGTGGAGCCAGCAAGTGAGCCTTACTCAGTAAGCTCCAGACCAGTAAGAGAAACTTGTCTGTATGTATAGGTGGGGAGGTAGAGAGAAGGTGGGTTCACACATATAGAAGTCAAAGTATAACTTTGTGGTCAATGTTATCCTTCCAACTTCAGGGGTTGAATTCAGGTCACCATACACTTCCTGAGCTGTCTTACCAGTCCTAAAAAGTTTTCTGTACATAGGATGCTATCACTTGGCACTGAATTTTTACTAATGAAAGACAAAGATAGTCATTTGCTATCACTTGGCGAGTGCTCTTGTCATCTGCAGAATACTTTATTAATTTATAGATCAAAAGGATCCAGAATCCATCTCTCTGGAGGAGGTACCAGGCATACAAAAAAGTTATGGATGAAAAGAATGGTCATGAAAGAAATGAGAGCCAGCTCTTCCATGGGACAGAGGCTAGCTGTATCCCACACCTCAACAGCAACGGGTTTAACCGTAGCTACGCTGGGAAGAACGGTAAGGGAGCATGCAATCAATTACCCCAAATGGGGTGCTGGCTGGTAGAGGTTACCCTGGGGTCTGTTCATTGTATCCTCACATCATGGTAGCCAGACAGTAGACAGTAATATGTTTCAATTCCTCCCCAAGGGCTTGACTGCCCCTTTGAGGGGGAAAATTAATAATGATGATGATGATAAATAATCCACACAAAATAGTCACGCTGAGCATTCCTTTATATTAGCTGACATATTGGGCTAACGTGTTGATTTATATGCTACACTGAATTACTTTAAAATGTCTTTGTCTTTGCAGCTGCATGGTATGGTAAAGGAACCTATTTTGCTGTCAATGCTTCCTATTCTGCCGATGACGTATACTCTAAACCAGATGCCAATGGGGAAAAGCACATGTACTATGCACGGGTTCTCACTGGGAACTACACAGTTGGAAACTCATCACTGATTGAGCCTCCTTCAAGGGACCCTCAAAATCATGACTTGTATGACACTGTCGTAGATAATGATCAAAATCCAAGTATATTTGTAGTGTTTTATGACAATCAAGCATACCCAGAGTATCTTATCACGTTTAGGCAGTGATACTTCAGGGCGCCTTCCAAGATAAAATCGAGTTCATGTATCTGCTGTAAGACAAATGTTAGCTGTTTTCCTCCTTAAGCTTTCTGTAAGAGCACAACAAGGTCTTTCATGGACACGCCATGGACATGTTTCCTCAGCTGTTCCTCCATGGTGGAAATGAATCGTCTTGAAAGCCAATCAATTTGAGAATTTAACCAGATTAACAGCTGTGGCCATGCTATTTCTAATGTGACAGTAACACCCTCACAGACTTTCAGAAAGCCATGCAATCCCAGCTACCACCAATGGAATCATGTCAGAGTGCACTGGTGCCATGGGGATGCACAGTGTCACTGAGCCAGTAAGGCTGCTAACTGCCAACTGAACAGATTCCACAGCAGAGAGCCTCTTTCTTCACCAACAACCCCGCCATGTGGGTTGGACAGCTCCAGCCAGGGCTGTGCATAAACTGGGTGCTGGGATGTCGCTCCTGGTCTGTGTGAACTGAGCCCCAGGGAGGGGCACAGCTCAGAAGCCCTGGCCCCAAGTGCTCGAGGCCCTTTTTAATGTTAACCCAGTGTTCCTGTGAAATCAATGGTATGACACCTGTTACATCGCCAGGGGAAGCCTTTCACTGTGTGAGAATGGTGAACTCTGAGGCTGTCTGCTAGCATCTCTCCTGTGGCAGGGCAGCTTGAGAAGATTTCAAAGCTTTATGTGGAATCCAATAGTCAGATTGCTAACTTACTAACTCAGGGTCTACTGGAAGGAAATTCTTTCTTGTGGTACTGGGGACTGAACCCAGGGCCTCACACATGCACTCTGTCACTGAGCTACACACCCAAACCCTCTTTACTTTTTATTTTGAGGCAGACTCTGGTTTAGTTGCCCAGGCTGGCTCTGATATCACTCTATAGCCCTGGCAGGCCTTGAACATTCTCTTCCTGCTTTGACTACTTGTTGAAGGCCTGTGCCACCAGACCTGGCTTAGGTTGTTTTAATTTTCTCCTGTAAATTTCAGCCTCAATGCCATTCATTGAGTGCCTAGATTTTGCCTGGTAGAGTGAGAGATGAGCTCACACACATGATTTTGTTCCCAGGAATACTTCTATGGGAAGAATCTATATTTCAAGGCAAAGGGAACATGTTTAGAGTACAATAAATGGCCTTGCCTGAGGTCACTGAGGCAGGAACTCTCAGAGCCAGCCAGCTGAGTCTTGGTGTTGGTGTTGAGCCCTTCACTATTCCCATCATAGAACCTGGCCTTGAGATAAGCAAGTACTGTTTCGGCCATCATTCAGTGGCTATCACACAGTGACTATCAGTGAGTGGCCATTACTCACTGTTCATCCCATGGTGGTCATTACACAGTGGCCTTCACACAGTGACCATCACATGGTGTCTGTCACACAATGTCCATCAATCAATGGGGAGTATCTCAGGTGATCTGAGGCGATCCCAGATTTTCCCAGCTTTTTTCTTCCTGGATTTTGTGTCCAGTCTATTCCTTATTGGAGTTCTATAGGCCAAGGAGCTAGTGCTCTGTGACATCCTCGGATGGTACACTCCTGGGTGTTGGGAGGATGAAGTCCCTGGTTCCCACCATGGGGATCACAATGGGCTTCAAGTGGAGCAAAGGGTCACCATTGCTGTCCCAAGGACACAGAGGCCTTGGAACCTATGCTGCTGTTTCTAAATGGACTGGCACAGACTGGCTTAGGAGGGGCTGGCTTCCCCTGCACTGGTTTCTGGACTCGGTACTGATAACAATCTAAGGAAATGCAATAAAAGTGAGACCTGTTTTCATCTGCTTTGGTTCTCCAGTGGTTTGGTTAACTCAGGGCGAGGCTGAATGGCATTTGTTACACTGAAGAATAAGGACCCAACCAGCAAATGTTAGTTACTTTCAGACTTGAAAAATGTCTCTCAGTAGAATCATTTTTCTCCTAAAAGGCAAACATGGGGCAACGTGTGTGTGGGGGGGGGGTGTAGTTCAATGACATACAGTGGTTGTATGTCACAGCTGAACAGGACAGCACTGAGTGATCCTTATGATTCAGGTGGAAATTACTGGAAGGGCACAATGCGCTTTAAGGTTTTAGAAAGCCTGTATCCAATAAACAGCCAGCCTGGAGCCCAAGTCAGGTCTTGATAGCTCACTGCAGGGCCACACAGTCATATGTACCTTGGTCACCTGAAGGATGTGCTGAAAGCTCAAGTTGTGGGGGCTCTTCATGCAACCCAGATTCTGCTTTCTATAGGCACTTGAACGAGTCCAACACCCTGACACTCAGGGCTACACCAAGACTTTGGTACTTTTGCCTTTGTAGTCCTTAGTGCATAAACAGAATTAAAACCTAAACTCAGAGGCTACAGAGAAGGGCTCAGTGAGCAAGAGCAATTGCTGCTTTTGCAGAGGACCTGGGCTTGGATCCCAGCAAATACATGGCAGCACATGACCACCTATAACTATAATTCCAGGGAGCCAATGTCTCCTTTCTGGCCTCTGTGGGAACTTCACACATGTGATATACATACATACATTCAGGCAAATACTCAAACATATTAAATAAAAATAAATAAATCTTTTTTAAAAAATCCAGACTATACAACTATACTAACTACATCCACAGATATCAAGACGGGATTAGGTTATTTTAGTGAAAAACAAACAAAAACAAAAAATCTTAAACTTTTTCACGGAGTCCTTGAAAGCACAGTGAGCCCTAGCCACCATACCTCCTGAAAACTAGGTAGGTGTTAGTCCTGATGACTCATATACACCTCATAACAGGACACTACAGGAATGTATAAGCTATGTTGGCCTCTGCGGAGCCCAAGTACTAACCGACCGGTTGGTTTTACTCACTCAGGTGTGGTCCTCTTGAGGCAGGATGGTGTGGGAGCCAGGTCATGCTAGCTTTCCCTGCACTCACCCTCTGACACCTCTTTGTAATCTCTCTTGACAAAATCAGGGAATCCCCTCCCAAGAACTCTTCCCAGGTCTTTAACACCATTCCTTCTCATAGAATTAAAGACTTGCCTGCAGAAGAGCCTCCAAGCTTCGCCCAGCTCAGCCTACACTGAGTCCATTCTGTCAGTCCCATGCCTTCAGGGAACCTAAAATGCCTCATGAGAAACTTACCTAGAAACAACATTTTCCTGAGAAGTTTCATCAAATAATGCTCATGTTTGAAACAAAAATGTTTTTGTTTCCTTTAAGATGAGGAGAAAGCTATAACCCAGCTCTGACCTCTCTGACTTTATTGGTGTTTATAACAACACCACAGCTGAGAGCACTGTGACTCTCCAGACCTGCCTGTACAGGATACTGAATGCTGGGGTTATAAGGATTCAGACATCATGCTGGCCTGGCCCTGTCACCTGGCAGAATGCACTCAGGCAGTACCCTAGTCAGTCCAGATAGCCATGGTCTGCACGAAAGTGCAAAGGCCCCCTTTAAAAGACAGACCTCTGCCCACTTATGCTCTCTTTCCCACTATTTCCCTGGGGTAGACAATATTTTTCCTGTCTCCCTCTTCTCTTCTGTCCTCTCTGACATGTCCAGCAGGTCCAGTTATTCCAGGCTCTGAAGAGGTACTGCCTGAAAGAAATCATGGGCAAGAGAAAGAAAGGAGACCAAGCAAGATTCTGTTGTCAAGGTCTCACTTTATTGAGGGAATAATAAGACTTATATAGGGATGTGGCAGGGAGGGAGTATAGAGGGAGGGAGTGAGGAGGGAGAAGGGAGCAAGGCAGCTGGTGGTAGTGCTCCCAGGATGGACTGCGGGGCCGCATGGAGGAGGAACTGACGAGGGAGCAGGGAGTTAGTGTACCTGGTGTTTTGCAAAAGCGGCTATCTAAAAACTGCCTGTTGCCTGAAAACCTCCTATGTTTCTTGTCCTCGGAGCTACTTATCTCTTCCAGGAATAGAACAGCTAGTGGTGGCAGTTGCCAGGTGGCAAGTCCTTCAAGGACCTATAGTTTTCCACTGCTCTGAATGGTCCCTTAACTTATGGCTCCCAACACCTCTCTGTGTCTCTTTACCTCTTTTCTCCTCCTCCCTCTTCCCTTTCCAATAAAACTTCTAAACTCTGACGTGTTTGATCCCTGCCTCAGTCAACCTTGCCTGCCACGGACTCCACCAAGGTTCCCACACGCATTATCATAACAGGGGTGATTCTCGAGTTATCTCTTCTTTTCTACCCTGTTCCATACAGAATTGATTCCTTCAGCCTGCTTCTGTGACTCACAGCTGAGTCATGCAGAACAAACCAAAAAGCACCTGAAGAGAAAGAGGTGTTTCTTGGATGGAGATAAATCTAAGACAGAATACTGAGCACTGACCACAGCATGCTCCAGGCCAGTGCCACTAGTGGAGCATTTCGTATACTGCCCTCTAGTGGAACATTGGCTATACCACCCTCTCTTGTTTGCCTAGTCAGAGTTAACTTCTGTGCTTCTTACCCCCTGAGCACTGGCCCAAGTTCTGTGAGTGAAGCTGTAACTGCCAAAACTCCCTACCCTCGTGGAATTACGTTGTGCTGGGGCTAGAGGGGACCTCCGAGGGCTAAGAGAAAAAACCAACAACAGCCATGCAGGCTGGCCAATGTCCACATGTGTACAGGGGCAGGTTGGTCAGTACTCCTGCACAGACATGAGACAGCTGCCTTTCTACCTCCCTTCTCATTCTAGCCATTACTGTCTAGTAGTTTAAAACGTCCCATCAGAATGTATGTAGCAGTACATAGGAGACAAAAAGGCCAAAAATATAAAAAGTCTCAACCCTGTAACATCTTGGGTAACTCTAGCTTTTGGATAAGTCTGTGAGAAGCCTGCTGGCTGGCCCAATAAACTACATCCTATTAAAAGAAGCCTCAGGGCAAGCCGGGCAGTGGTGGCACACGTCTTTAATCCCAGTACTCTGGAGGCAGAGGCAGGTTTATTTCTGTGAGTTCGAGGCCAGCCTGGTCTACAGAGTGAGTTCCAGGACAGCCAGGGCTACACAGAGAAAACCTGTCTCAAAAAAAAACCACCACCAACAACAATAAAAACAAAACAAGCCTCAGGCCTCTAAAGCTTGCAGCAACATGCTGATTGAGCAAGATAAACATTAATTAGATAGGCAAATATACAGGGGCCAGGTAGGGCAGTTCTGCAGGCTGGGGACCAACCCACTCTTAGGAATAACTGTTATCAGATCTGGCCAAGCAGTGCTGAGACTGGAGAGCAGAACAGAGAGGTCCTGCTCAAGGCCTCTGCTGGATGCCCTTCAGTGCTATGCACTGTTCTTGCTTCCTAAACCATACACTCTCCACATACTCTGCCATGGCAATCTCAAGGCTGCCACAGACAATAGGAAACAAATGGCTTGAGGGAGGAGCTGGCAGAATGAGAGGGAGAGAAGAGGAGGGGAGAGGAGGAAATGGAGGATCTGAAAGGATGAGTCAGGGGAAGAATATAGGAGAGCAGGATGAGAGATACCAAACAGAGGGAGCCATTATATGTCTGAGGGGAGATCTGGCACTTAGGAGATTTCCAGAGATCTACAAGGATGACACAAACTGACAATCTAGGCAA